AAAGAGAGAGACCCCATGCAACGTCTTACGGGGTTTATGTTTTAGTTAATTAGATTCGCTAGAGCTTGTAGCAACGTAAAGGATTTCAACGAGCGGAATATTTATATTACCAGCAAGCTTCTAAAACAGGGCTACCGCTATCATTAATTACGGAAATATTTTACTAAATTTTACAATCGTAACTTTGATTTAATTTCTAATTTCAATAGTGATTTAGAAACTCTTCTGCGAGAAGGGATTAGCCAGCCTGGTTTTTATGGCGATGTGATTTACAAACTACGTAAGATTTTAGGTCATGGTAATTTTTCTGCTGTTTTTACTAAAATCATTAAAGATGTTATTACCCTACTATTTTAAGACATACTGCATGTTTAGTGTTCAACCCTTTTACAGTTGGACACTACGCTTTCCTCTTTTGATTGCATCTGACGGACCAAGTGGGAGACTCTATAAATGGTAGTTTAAAGCCTTTGGGACTAAATTTTGTTTAAATGTTCGTTTTTTGCCTTGCTTCGTGGGGGCCCTTGTGGTATTTTTTGTTGTTTGTTTTCCCTTTTGGGAAAATTGATACTTTTGTTTGGTCTTTGGGTTTTTATTTTATATTTTTCCATGATATTTTAGTTTTTTTCTTATTTTAACCTTTTGAAACCCAAAACAATGTTAAATTTCACTGGGGGGACTATTTATTTACACGTCTCGTTTATGGAAATGGGGGCAAAAAGGCGGGTTTGGTGCACTTTTAAACCGATTTAAAAATCCCCAAGTCATTCTTATGCTGCTAAACCTTCCCGGGGGGCCCCCCACTGTTTCCCAAATTAGTCTTGTTGTTTCAATTTTTTTTTTGTTGACCCCCTTGTTGCCCCTTGTTTTTTTTTCCGTTACGGTAAGATTTTCTCTTCCCTCTTTTTTATTTCTTTGATTAACCCCTTCCCCCGGTCACAAACGCATCTGATAATCAAATTGTTAAAAATCAGTTCCATGCAATAAACACGGAAATGATGAATATAATTGCAAAGTACTAAATTATGTTTTCAGATATATTCTGATGCCACGCTTCAAAAATCAAACTTTCCAGATAATAAATTGTTCAATTTTAGTTTTGATAAACGAGGTTTGACATCTGCAAATGTTTCTAAATTCAAAATTTTACTATTTCATGTTTAAATGTTGAATTCTGCTTAAGCCGGTGCTAGGGGGCTTGGACGGTAAGTTGCACTTTCCAGTACCGTCCATGAACAGGCTCAATCAAACCGAGCCTGCAACATTTTCAATTTTGCCTTGTTGGGCTTTCTTTAGGGATTCTGTGTTTATCTGTTTTACAAATTAACGTAAATTATATATAAATTACTTAATGCCTAAAAAAGACGAAATAAAAAACAATCTATTAAACAAATAAAATTTGCCTGATATATTGGGCTTTATTGAGAAATCTCTTTGTGATAATACAACATATGTACAACAAAAAAATGAATTAAAAATAAACAATTTCACATACGAAAGAAATGACCGTAAAAGTTATCATAAAGACGGGGGAATTTTAATATATATTACTGACAAGATGCGCCTTTACGATATAGAAATTAGAATATGTTAGGTTCATAAAACTGTTCTTATCTTAAATATGAATCTTTATTTAAAAATTATTTAATAAACTTTTCATTCATAGACATATTATTTTCATAATTGGGACTTGATTAAAAGATTATTGTTTATTTCAATTTACTTGGTTGTTATTTGTATCCTAACAAGAACCCACGGAATACATATTCCTTATTACGGCCAGATTGTGATCGCTATATGTCCGAACGAATATTATTTAAACTGCCACTATTACAAATGATAAAAAAAGTAAAAGAGATTTCTTTAACAATGCTATTAAAAATAACAAAGACCCAACATTTTTATGGAAAAAGTTTAAGGACGTGTCAAATCTAAATAAAAAGGTTGTATAACAATGCCAGACAGATTTGTGACAGGTAATAAAGAATTTTATAGAAAAGTAAATATTTTAAATGAATTATTAAATGAACAAAGTTTTCAAATACAACTTTTTTTTCATTTTTGAAAGAAACTTTAGACCAAAAGCTAATATATCATGAATTTGATATTGAATTAATTACACAGTTTGAAGTTAAACTTATTATCGAAAATCTGAATGTAAAAAATAAACAGAATTAGATAGAATAGGCCAAACATCATCAAACATTGTGAAGATTATATTACAATAATAGTTGCATCAATTATCAATAATAACAAAAAAATCAGAATTTCGCAAAGATTCATTTTTGTAATACTGCACTCATTAGTTTAATAGATAAAAGGTGGACAAATTATCGGGACTGTATTCTTAGATTTAAAGAAAGCATTTGATTTGGTTTACCATGAGAAAAACTTCCCCATAAACTTAAGCTGTTTCATTTTTCTGAAAATGCCATTACACTTTTTTAAGTCTTATCTTTCAAACAGAACACAACTGGTTAAGATGGGTTATCTTCAATCTCAGACAATGAAAATAATTGCCGGTGTTCCACAAGGTTCAACATTAGGACCTTGGTTATTTCTAATATACATAAATGACATAGCTTGCATTGGTAATAATATAAAAAAGTTGATCTATACGCAGACAATTTTACACTTTATGAGTCCGGAGAAAATATATCAAAAGTAGAAGTAAAACTTCAACATCATTTTAACATTGTGAAGTGGTGCAAAATCAATAATATGGCCTTAAATCCAGAAATTTAAAATCAAAATGTGTGGTGATAGGAACAAGACAAAAAGTAAATGTAATGAGAAAACTGTATCTTAAGATAAATGAAATAGTTCTTGAAAAAGTAACTGATTAAACAGTATTTGGGTATTTACATTGATAACACCTTAAATGGTACTTGCAAATTGACTATGTTTGTAAAACTCAAACAGAAAAATTGCTTTATTGAAAAAAAATATCGTGATTTTTGCACTTGATATGAAATTACTGTTTTTCAATGCATATACTGTAAATTACACATTATGAACCATTGTTGTATTGTATAGCATACAGGAAACACAAGCTACATAAATTATGTTTGTAAATTACTAAAAATGAGATGCTAAAATCATTTTAAAGCAACCAGATATATCTCCGTCAATGAATCTTTTCCAGACTCTTTACTGGTTACCGTTTTATGACAGATTTAAAAACCACACGGCAGTGCTTCTTTTTAAAAACTTTATATAACATGGCACTGACTTATATTACAAAACTTACGGCTGTATCAGACATCAAATTAAATATTTATCTCTATAGATCCAGGTCACGAAAAGATATATTATTATGGACAAGACCTAAAACAAATTATATTAAAGACATTTTCTTATTCTGGCAGGAACTGTTGGAACAATATATCTTTGAATATTCGTAATGTTAATAACCTTAAATGTTCAAAAGAAAAATACAAAACATATATTGATGTTCATATGAATGAATGAAAGAATGAATGAATGAATGAATGAACGAAACAAACGAATGATGCAATATACATGTACGTATATGTTTAAACAAATTGTTGAGTGTGTCGAAAGTATATGAGTTGTCTTATTCTAAAATTTACATATTATACATTCATTTTTCTACCTATGCACATTCTGTTTTTATTTTTTTCTATTTCAGAAGGCCAGATTTGAAATAAGATATATATGATTCTTGCTGTATGTTCTTAATGTGTAACTTTCTTTAAATAAAGATATTATTATTTATTAACTATTAAACCACATTTCCTTCTGTGATAAACGATATCAATATTTATATGAAAACGAACACAATGTTGTTTCATTGAAAAACAATTCAATCAACAGTTCAAGTGAAGGCATTCAAAAATAGTTTCTTTATGGTTAAAAGACTTTTACTAAGCGATGTTTTATCAAAACAACAACAAAAACTTACTTTGTCAATGTCTTTATCATCGGATTGATCTTTTTCAATCATTTCTTTCATTGCAGATGTTTCATTCTGAAAACAGATTCCATTTATTTCAAATATGCAGACAAATGAAAATAACCCACACGCGAGCACCCACAAACACGTGCGCTCACACAATTCAATTATTATTTTCATGTTTAAAGGGACGAGAAACGCGCCATTTGTTTCAATTACAACATCTTATCTAAGGTTAATTACCTTCTAGGTATTTATGTTTTATTTCATTAACTAAGTGTTCCAATAAAATTTTTTGTTAAACATGTCCTTAAAGGCTTAAAGAAACAAGAGGGCCATGATGGCCCTGAGGTCGCTCACCTGTATATAGGCCCCCCCCCCCCAACGTTGCAGGGCCAATTTAAACCAAGGGCTTTTATTTGCACAAACTTGGTAGACACCCATAAGAAGATGTTTCATGCTAAACATCTAAGCTCTAGCTCATTGGGCTTTTTAAAAGAAGATTTTTTTAAAGTTTTTACTATACACATATAGTTAAAAACAATGACACCCCTGGGGCTGGGCCAGTTTTGACCCCAGGGCTTTTATTTGAACAAACTTTGTAGACACTTACTAGAAGATGTTTCATGCTTAATATCTAAACTCTAGCTATTTGGGTTTTTACAAAGAAGATTTTAAGTTTTTGCTATACACATATAATGAAAATCAATGACCCCCGGGGCGGGGCCAATTTTGACCCCAGGTCTTTTATTTGAACAAACTTTGTAGACACTCACTTAAAGATGTTTCATGCTTTCTAAACTCTAGCTATTTGGGTTTTTTCAAAGAAGATTTTAAGTTTTTGCTATACACATATAATGAAAATCAATGACCCCCGGGGCGGTGCCAATTTTGACCCCAGGGCTTTTATTTGAACAAACTTGGTAGACACCTATTAGAACATGTTTGATGCTAAATATCTTAGCCATGGCTCTTTGAGTTCTTTAAAAGAAGATTTTTTAAGTTTTTACTATATGCATATAGGGAAAATCAATGACCCCCCGGGGCGGGGCCAATTTTGACCCCAGGGCTTTTATTTGAACAAACTTGGTAGACACTTATTAGAACATGTTTCATGCTAAATATCTTAGCTCTAACTCTTTTGGTTCTTTAAAAGAAGATTTTTTAAGTTTTTACTATATGCATATAGGGAAAATCAATGACCCCTTGGGGTGGGGCCAATTTTGACCCCAGGGCTTTTATTTGAACAAACTTGGTAGACACCTATTAGAACATGTTTGATGCTCAATATCTTAGCTCTAGCTCTTTGAGTTCTTTAAAAGAAGATTTTTTAAGTTTTTACTATATGCATATAGGGAAAATCAATGACCCCCCGGGGCGGGGCCAATTTTGACCCCAGGGCTTTTATTTGAACAAACTTGGTAGACACTCACTAGAAGATGTTTCATGCCAAATATCTAAGCTCTAGCTCTTATGGTTTTGTAAAAGAAGATATTTAAAGTTTTTTCTTTCGGTTGCCATGGCAACCAGAGTTCTGCATGGAATTAAATTCTTTGAACAATTTTTAAAGGTGACCACCAAAGGAACATTCCTGTGAAGTTTGGATGAAATTGGCTTAGTGGTTTATGAGGAGATGTCATTTAAAGTAAAATTTACGGACGGACGACGGACGACGGACGGACGGACGGACGGACGACGGACGGACGCCGGACGAAAAGCGATCACAAAAGCTCACCCTGTCACTTTGTGACAGGTGAGCTAAAAATGTATCACCCTATACAATAGAAGGTATTCAAACCAAACAATCAACAAAAGATGCACGTTTCGTCTTTGTAGTGTTTTTTTTCATTTTAACAGCCCGGAAAATGGCATTGAATTGCTTAAATTCTTGGAACAAAATGATAATGTTTGCCTTAAATTTCCAATTAAAGTACCATTATGCTCATTTTCCATTGGCAAATTAAGCTACATTGATAATAGATTTTGTTTTTGTTTTAATGGTTATTGTTCATATTATAACATATTTGCATATATTTGCATATATTTGCCCTGATGATCATAAGAGAAACCGGTTGGAAAATAAATAAAGAAGAAAACTCAATGTGTTTTTTGTTTCATTTATATTTGACTTTTTTTCGGCACTTATTTTTCATACACACACACGCACACACACTCACGCATGCACGCACGCACACACTTTCACACACACATATACGCATATGTATTAAATTGAAAAGAAGTATATATAGAACAATTGCAAATACATTACAGAAAAACTCACGTGCCGGTTCGTGCCTGAAATAATGCACGAAAGGGCACCTGTGGTCTTCGTCCACCAGTGAAGCTGGAACGTCGCCATATGACATATACTGTGTCGGTGTGACGTAAAACCCAATACAAACAAACAAAAAAAAATACAGAAAAAAATATAAATAAATATCAATGTATGCGTTACAAAAGAAAAAAATATCGATTATGGTCAAAATTAGTCTGGTCTACTGACAGGAATAAATAATAATAATACAATGATTACCAACAGCCTTTTTATTAACCTGCCATCATCTTTGAAAAATAGCTGAAGCATCTCCTCAAGCTGAAAGAAGAAAATATTTAATATCAGGAAAAAATAGTGTATTTAATTGCCGTATAGTTATTATTAAACACCCTAATTTCATATTGATAGGTCAGAGAAAATATCCTTTTTGCATATAAACGTATCTATATGTGATAAGAATAATCAATGCCAGATTATTTCAAATACTTTATCTTTTCCTGAACAAGAGGGCCATAATGGCCCTGAAGTCGCTCACCTGTATATAGGCCCCTGGAGCAGAGCCAGTTTAAACCCTAGGGCTTTTATTTGATCAAACTTGGTAGACAACCATTAGAAGATGTTTCATGCTAAACATCTAAGGTCTAGCTCGTTGGGTTTTTCAAAAGAAGATTTTTAAAGTTTTTTTCTTTAAACATATTTTTGTTTGTTTGTTTGTTTGTTTCATTTTACGCCTTTTTCAACAGTATTTCAGTCATATAGGCGGGTAGTTTCCTAACCATCGTTCCTGGAGAGTTACACCAGTACTAGACAACCTTCCTCCGCGCTAAACTACCAAAGCATCTCCCGGGGATCGAACCCACGCCAGAGAGGTAGCTGGATTAGAAGTCATCGACTCTAACCCCTCGGCCACGGAGGCGGACTAAAGTTAAAAACAATGACACCCCTTGGGCAGGGCCAGTTTTGACCCCAGGGCTTTTATTTGAACAATCTTTGTAGACACTTACAAGAAAATGTTTCATGCTTAATATCTAAACTCTAGCTATTTCGGTTTTTTCAAAGAAGATTTTTAAGTCTTTGCTTTACACATATAAAGAAAATCAATGTCCCCCAGAGCGGGGCAAATTTTGACCCCAGGGCTTTTATTTGAACAAACTTTGTAGACACTCACTAGAAGATGCTTCATGCTTAATATCCAAACTCTAGCTATTTGAGTTTTTTCAATGAAGATTTTTTAAGTTTTTGCTATACACATAATTATAAGGAAAATAAATAACCCCCGGGGTGGGGCCAATTTTGACCCCAGGCTTTTATTTGAACAAACTTTGAAGACACTCACAAGAAGATGTTTCATGCTTAGTATCTAATCTCTAGCTATTTGTTGTTTTTTTTTTTTTCGAAGAAGATTTTTAAGTTTTTGCTTTATACACACAAAAGGAAAATCAATGACCCCCGGGGCGGGGCCAATTTTGACCCCAGGGCTTTTATTTGAACAAGCTTGGTAGACATCAATTAGAACATGTTTCATGCTAAATATCTTAGCTCTAGCTCTTTGGGTTCTTTAAAAGAAGATTTTTAAGTTTTTACTATATGCATATAGGGAAAATCAATGACCCCCTGGGGCGGGATCAATTTTGACCCAAGGGCTTTTATTTAAACAAACTTGGTAGACACCCATTAGAAGATGCTTCATGCTAAATATCTTAGCTCTAGCTCTTTGGGTTATTTAAAAGAAGATTTTTTAAGTTTTTACTATATGCATATAGGGAAAATCAAAGACCCACTGGGGCGGGGCCAATATTGACCCCAGTGCTTTTATTTGAACAAACTTGGTAGACAACTATTAGAGCATGTTTTATGCTAAATATCCTAGCTCTAGCTCTTTGGGTTATTTAAAAGAAATTTTTTTAAGTTTTTACTATATGCATATTGGGAAAATCAAAGACCCCCTTGGGCGGGGCCAATTTTGACCCTAGGGCTTGGTAGACACTCGCTAGAAGATGTTTCATGCCAAATATCTAACCTGTAGCCTTTACAAATTCAGAGAAGTAGATTTTTGTTAGGTTTTACAATATACATATAAGGAAAAACCTATGACCTCCCAGGGCGGGGCCGATTTTAATTCTAGGAACAAAATTTGAACAACTTTTGTTTTGGACCTATAGATGTTACCATAGACCAAATATCAAAGCTCTAGGCCATTTACTTTCAGACCAGAAGATTTTTCAAGTTTTCACTATATGTATATAATGAAAATCAATGACCCCCGAGGGCGGGGCCAATTTTGACCCGAGGGCCATTATTTGAACAATCGTGGTAGAGGTCTACCACACAATGTTTCATGCCAAATATATTACCAGTAGCCTTTGCCAATTCAGAGAAGAAGATTGTTTTATGTTTTACTATATACATATTAGAAAAAAACCTATGACCCCCGGGGTGAGGCCAATTTTGACACTAGGGACAAAATTTGTACCACTTTGGTATTGGACCTTCAGATGATACCATAGATTAAATATCAAAGCTCTAGGGCATTTACTTTCAGACTAGAAGACTTTTCAAATTTTCACTATATGTATGTAATGAAAATCAATGACCCCCGGGGCGGGGCCAATTTTGACCCTAGGGCCATTATTTGAACAATCTTGATAGAGGTCTACTACACAATGTTACATGCCAAATATCTAATCTGTAGCCTTTGCCAAATCAGAGAAGATTTTTTTTAGATTTTACTATATACATATAAGGGAAAACCTATGACCCCCCGGGGCGGGGCCAATTTTGACACTACGGACACAATTTGAACAATTTTGGTAGAGGACCCATAGATGATACCATATACCAAAAATCAAAGCTTTGGCCCATGTACTTTCAGAATAGAAGATTTTTTTATTTTGTGTTTTTGGAATCCTTTTCTGGCCCTATGACCTACATATGCAACAGACCGAAACCATTTGAACAACTTTGAAAGGGGACCACCAAAGGATCATTTCTGTAAAGTTTGGTTGATGTGCAGTCATTGGTTTCAGAGGAGATGTTGTTAATGTTCAAAAGTTGACGACGCACGACGACGAACACAGGGCCATCACAATAGCTCACATTGAGCATTGCTAAGGTGAGCTAAAAATATCTATGCATGAAGAAGTCTTTAACTCATTTGATAGCTTTAGAGTATAATCCCATAGATTACTAGTAGAAACTGATCGTTGGTCTAAATCTGCAGCGAAATATTTTTGTAACGTATTAGAGAATTAATATCATTGAGTTGTAGAATGTCTTTTGTACAATAAACTAACCATCAAAGTACTGGTGGAATGTATAGAAAAAAACAAAATGTGATAACGAAGCTCGGAATATTTATTTTTAATGCCTTTGGGAAGGAAACGTACCGATTTGTTATATAGAAATGATATAAGACTTAAGAATATGTTTATTCCTGTTTCTTGATACGGTATGATAAATATGCACCTCAGAAATATACTAAAACCTCCATTACTTGTTGACCTATTCATATCTCAATTGTATTTAACGCTTGTCTATGATAATAGGTTGTCTATATAAGCAAGTTCTAGTTGATTGACTCTCATTGTGTATTTTAATGAAAGGTTAGTCATAGAGGGAAATGAATTTGAGTTAGTTTTTAAAGTATAATTCAGTTATTATAAATAAAAGTTTCGTCATATCTATTTACAGAATGGAACAGTCAATTCTAATACTTTATACTATGTACACGCAATGTTGCACATCCATATTGATTGTACGTTTCACTGATATATAAATGAAAAAATATTCTAACAAATTTTAAGAGAGACGAAAACACAATCTCTTCAAGCTCATATAGCTCGTAATCATACATTTATTTTGTCTGACAGTTTGTTATGCAATAAAGGATTAAAATCTGAAATCAATATGAAACAGTTTTTTACAGCTTTCGAACCAACCAGTAAAATTTACATTTATATTAATAAGCAACTTACTTGCTGTGCTATAGTGTCAAACCAAGATAAAAGCTCATAAAATATGATATATATAAATGTTATGGTAACATTTACAACTGATGAAAGTTCTGTTCATCGTGCTAAGGTGTTATATGCGTTTTTCTTCTAAGAACTACTTTGTATGATTGACGTTTTGGTATATTTTATCTTTCTTTTAATAATACTATTTAATGTATAATAACATTGTTAATTGATATATGCACTGTATTTACATATATTTATGCCATGCGGCATTCTCCATTTACTTTAGATAAATGCCTTTTTAGTACATGTTGTTTCATATCACTGTCTGTTATGTCATTATGCTATGTATGTCCTCATGGGCGTAGAAATATTGCCCAAGGAACTGAATGAAAAACTTGTCCTGTCCTGTCTTATAAGTAAGTAGCTCACTTAGTTATAGATGTTCGTTCTCTTTGCTAAATAATTTATATACGATGAATTTGTAGCAGATAACACATTCTTCTTATTAATAAATAAAATATCATTTTTTATTCATACAAATGTAAAATACAGAAGATGTGCATCAGATGTTTATTATTCAGTTTTAAATATATAATGTACTCACATAATGTGACTCATTGATTAGGGCTTATTAATTGTCTTATTTCAATAGTAAATCTTAACTCACCACGTTACCAATATCTCCGTCAACATCTTTTGTGCTAGCATCATTCTCATTAATGGAATTTTTCAACTGAAATGATATATGGGCTTAAGATGAAGCAAACTAAGAAAAGGGTCATATCTGATAAAAATCACTTTTACAACATCGCTTGATTAAAAAAGCGAAACACAACTTTAATTACATTTGATTTTATGTTTGATAGTAAACGTGTAGTTTCTGATAACTGGAACTTATTAATTTGGTTTTACAATTGGTTCGACTATTTAAAAATGCTAAACTATCTTAAATACCAAATATCTAATTTATCTATATATACACAGATCCGAGATTCGATAGCATACAACAAGTGAATTGTTCATTGCATCACATTTATTGAATTTTTCCCTTTCTTCTTCTTTGTTTCATGTTAACTGGAAAACGACACATATAATGCTGCAATATATCAGTACCAAAATTGTAAGAGCACACTATTTGCAACAGATTACAGAACGTTTCTTTAATTTTAGAACCCCAAAAAGCTTTTTCTGATTACCAGCTAGATAAATGTTTTGCATATGGTCCTTAATTTTGATAGAAAGGCTTTTTATAGCCATTACATGAACCCGGTGACCTAGCAACGGGCTACACATGAAGGGTCAATGACTTAGATACAATTCTGGTCGACATACATAAGAATTGTTAGGTTGAAAAGCTACTGTAGTAATGTTGGATTTTTGTCACGTAGATGGTGGGAAGGTAGGAATTAAATCTCATATTTTTAAGAGATGTAGCCAATCTCGTCTTTAATGATGTTAATCACGGTATAGCAACATTTCCTTTCACATCTTAGAACATATGACTTTCTTTTCAATCAACGACTCATATGAGTGCAATTTACTTAAATTACAGTAACTGGACTCATGTCTATTGCAGCATGGTCTCTTTCAGTGTAGATACATTATTCCCAAACATTTACAAATATCCTATCTATATGTATTTATAGTTAGTACCCAATACATAAAAATCAAGGGTAAGAACAATTTTACATTCATCATACTGATGAAGGTAGACCATTAACCTTATTTCAGGCACAGACTGGCATCAGAATAGACCTACCTACGTTCCGAAAGCTATCGCAAGAATCTTGTGGGATTCCAAAACACATCGGTGAGTGGTTATTGGTTTAAAGTCAACGGCCTTATCTACTCGGCTAAGGACGCTGCTTGTTTGTGACAGAGATTGTTTAAGTTTGCAGTAACTCTTTTTTATTTTTTTCCTTAATTTTTGTAAGAGGAAATAATGTTACACGTGTCAACGATTTATTCCGGATATTGCATTGATACATAGATACGGAGCACGGTATTTAACCATGTTAGTTTATTTGCTCTTTTAATTCCGAAAATTTCTGCGTTTGTTACATGATTGAAATTCACTGACAATTTGCACTTCCTAAATAACTGATGTCATATAAACTGTTAGTTAATGCTATATCTACATCTTATATTGTTCGTCATTAAAAGTGATTGGACATCATATTTACGTACTAAATTTTGATCGTTTAGAACAAACTTAAGTAAGTTTATTTTTCGTAACTTACGTATTAAATTATCGGTAATTGCCTTAGTTGTACCCTTACAAAGTCCGGTATCACAGAGATGTTAGTGTTCTTAACCATAATGCAGGTGAGATCTTAAACCGGGAGTGACGTTAATAAATCCCTATGTTAATTGTTGATAGTTCATGCTATATAGCTGTGTTTCTCGTAATATGATTTGAATTTACGTACATATTGTGAATGAACTATATAAAGAATCGTTGATGGCGATCCATTTGTAGTTCACCATTATATGTTTGAACAACAGCAACCGACAAAATCACTAAATACATGTACGTAATTATTTCTAAAATGTAGAGCATTGACACTTCTAAAATGGTACGTAGGATAAGTCAAAGAAGCGGTTATTGTTTTAAAATACATATTCATGTGGAGTAAAGTGATATTTTATTATGGATTTAATCATGTAAGTAGTTTTTTATTTTTCGTTAAATTTTCTCACTCTATAAGTTGAACACTATACAAGGGCTAGGATCGTCAAGTTCATTGTCGTTTTTTGGAATATATAATCATCAGCCAGTTTAATGGAAAGCCAATTTTTACATGTCATAATCGATGTTTTATATGTATATAATAACACAATCTTACTAAAGTTCTACTTATTTCTTATTTATGAAGATCAGATTACCTTATCATGTTTCATTGTGATTCGGATTGTCCGTTAAAGCTATTGTAGCCATGCAATCAAACAGTTCTTTACAGATAGGCAAACAAACACGATTGCATGCATTTGTAAAAGTTGCCAGGGCATTTATACAACACTAAAGGTAGTGTAGGAACATATTTTTTTTTAATTCTATACAATTGAACATAATGAATAGATCCCTGGCCTATCTAATTCTTATTATCAGATTAGTGGATATAATAAAAAATCACCACAACCTATTTTTTAACGAAAGAGCACATGTCAATCTTTGTGGTTAAATCTATTGTTATTCAAATAAAAGGTCAGAGTAGGGATCTATCAATGAGTCTAGTGAATTTGGGGGTGAAGGTTATATTTCAAATGGCCTAAATTTCATGACAGTACATCAAAGGGCAACACAGTAAGACACTGTCAAAATCCAGGTCAACTGAATCAAAGTTCAATTAACATCTTATTCTGTGTACATTGTTCAAATTTCATAGCTGTATATCAAAGGACAAGAAAGTAAGTCACGAAATCAAAATCTAGGTCACCTGATATCAAAGTTCAATTTTAAAACAAAAACTGTGCACATAGTCAACATTTCATGGTTGTACATCAAAAGATAAGAAAGTAGGTCACTGTCCATTGGACCCAAGGGATTAATGTAAACAATCTTGATACAGGTCCATCAAACAATGTCTCATGTCAAATATCTAAATTGTAGCTTTCCCTTTTCAGAAAACATTTGTTAAAGTTCCTGTTTTTACTATGTGTACAAAATGAAAATTAATGTGGTCGAGGGGTTAGAGTCGATGACTTCTAATCCAGTTACCTCTCTGGCATTGGTTCGATCCCCGGGAGATGCTTTGGTAGTTTAGCGCGGAGGAAGGTAGTCTAGTATTGGTGTAACTCTCCAGGAACGATGGTTAGGAAACTACCCGCCAATATGACTGAAATACCATTTGGAAAAGGCGTAAAATGAAACAAACAAACAAACAAACAATGTCCCTTGGGCAGGGCCAATTTTGACACCAGGGGCAAATTTTGAACAACTTTGGTAGAGGACCTATAGATGATATAATATATCAAATATCAAAGCTCTAAGCCTTGAACCTTTAAACAAGAGGAACTTTTAAGTTTTTACTATATGAACATAATGAAAATAAATGACCCCCGCGGCAGGGCCAATTTTGCCCCAGGGTAATAATTTGAACAGTCTTGGTAGAGGTCTACCAGACAATGCCTTATGCAAAATATATAAGCTCTAGGCCATGTTAGTCTCTACAACAAGATTTTCGAATTTATTCTTATAATTGCTTTTGGTTGCTATGGCAACCAGATTTCTGCATGAAATGAAATTCTTTGAACAACTTTGAAAGCCCTTCACCCAAGGATCAATCCTGCCAAGTTTAGCTGCAATTGGACTCATGGTTTTCATTTGTGTACAGTTCAACTTTACTTTCTTTATTTAAATAAAATTGACGGACCAAGTGGACTCCTTTGCAATAGAAGTCGAGAGTCCGTAATAGAGGTGTCTCTACAGACCATGGACCTATTGTCTATTTACTCTTGTGAAATTGAGCACTTGTAGGTGATCTTCTTAGAGACATTGAATACTTACATTGTATTTCTGTTATGGTCATTACTACTCGTACGTTGTTCTTGCTAAAAGTAATTATTTTTATCATTTCTGTATTTCATATCTTTTACATAATGTAAGCATGACGATCGAGATCAATTTCGCTTGATGTGGAATCTTTTTTCATTTTAAGATGTATATTTTCGATCCTTGAACATTAATCAACATCACATTGTTGTTGTATTTGTGTTATTCTTTGTTTTTTTATCAATTTAACCTTTGCTTAATAGAATGTTTCAGTAAACCTACTTAAAGACTGTTTAAACACCAGTATGATGTGTTGTTTGATTGTTTTTTAAAATTTGTTGTTTGGCAACTGTCTGTATATGCAGGTTTTCATTTTACTTTGTTAAAGGAACATGTTGGGGTTAAGATTAAGGGTTGATGTACATATAAGTTAAACTTTTTTTAAAAATGCAGTGTTGCTATTGACCATTCTTAGGTGGTGCGTCTCGTAAAGTCCTCCCTCTGTGGCTAAGGGTTGTAAAGGACTGCGTGTAGTAAATGTCCCTTTTGGATAATTCTTTTCATTTTTTTGTTAACAGTTAATGATTAAGTGTGCATGCGTTTTAACATGTTTTACCTGTAACCTATGTTGGCATGTCTCGTCAAAAATGGCAAACGGTTGATACAAATATCATGGGAAATATGTTTCTTTACCTCAAAATGGATCAAATGTGGAAATTAGGGAAGCGTGTATGAAGTCTGCTAATTCAGGGACAGTGGATATAGATACCTGTATTAGAACTGCACTGAGAAGGGTTCTTGTTAAAATTCAGCCAAGATATAATCATCGAAAGATCTCTGTCTCTTGCACAACGGTTTCATCCTGAGTGGTCAGATCTTGAACATCAATTTTGAGTGTTCATATTTAATTTTACATTGGCTTTTATAATAAATAGGAAATATTTATCATTTTGACGTGAGGATATATATTTATTCTTCTCTATTCGCGTCCTTTAAAACATCACGAAATTTTAGCTTCATAATCACTAATGAACACATATTTGCTGTGCATTCAGACATAAGTAGTAGATACAAATCTCTACACAAGCGTAAAGGTATGAATTATAATATAAAGGTACACGAACTTTATATATCAAAGAAACGTAAAATATTGATTTTCCTTACCTTACTCGTCAAGAAGTCTTTTTCATCATGCAAAATGCACTGAAAAATATAGAATTCAACCAAATGATCTGAGGAAAAGAAGCTTCACTGCAACGATATATATCTAAGTGAAATTCAAGTTAACCAGAACCATAACACTATGCTTGTTTTAATATCAGCTGATGGATTATAAATATAAACATACAGCGCATGCCGAGTTACAGGTCTAGTCAGTTTCTCTATGTAAGGGATATTAGGAGAATACATTTACATCTTGAAAAGTATGCACGTGTTTGTGTTATATCACTATTTTGTGACGTCTACCTGATAAGTTTAACTACCAACAACAAAACATGGTGTCAGATGTTCAGAATAAAAATGAAACGGATTAAAAAAGATCATACTGGATTATTATGAAAACATCATAAGTAAACACAAATTAAAAATGGAATTATTAAAATGGAATTAACGGGAATTTTACCACCATCAACGGATTTGCAGTCATCTAGCCTGCCATAAGCTTTCTAAAAATCTGAAAGACATGCAAAAAAACTGTTCACGGGACCATTAAAAGGAAAATCGGAGCCAAAATATCATGTTTAATGTTATAGACTCGATATAGAATCAATATGAACAGACATGTCCGAGAAAGACGCCAAGGAACTCAACAAATATTTTGATAAGTTCATGCGCATGTAAGTCTGATTTTCGGACGCCACAAATTCTTTAATGAAATTCAAGGAGAAGGCAGCGTAGACTTGTACATTACATGACTGCGTATTAACGAAAGAGACTAGTTTGAACGATAAGGAAGATATGATTCGTGATCTAGGTTTCGGGTGCAAATCCAGCAAATTATGAGAAAGGCTTATAAAAGGGAGAGCTACTCTTACTATGGATAAGGCAATACAAATAGCTCAAACCATGAACTATGCTAAACAGCAAATGATGATCATGGGGCACACAATACGGTAGATGTCCGCCACGCTCGGAATAAACCGAAACAGGAAGAACGTTAGAAGACGAAAGAATGTAAAACAAATCAAGTGTTTAAGATGCGGAACATTCCCTATCAAATATCTGAACTGTCCAGCAGTAGGTAAACAATGTAACAATTGCGGGGAACTCAATCCTAATTAAAAATGGAATTATTAAAATTTATAAATATATACATATTGCGCATGTTCGATGTCTATCAAGCGTCTCCATGTTAGGGATTTAAGAGTATACACATTTTGTGTTATATCACTATTTTGTGACGACTACTTGATTATTGGAGAGGTCATCAAACCTCTCCGCAGTGTTCAGACTGATTGCTGGCGGCATCCATTTTTGCGTATCTGATTTTAGTGAACGAATTTCATTTAAAGCGTAAAATCATTAGGATCAGTCTACAACAATTGTTTTGCACAGATTGTGTATTTTATATCTCCATGAATATGGAATGTGTGTAGATCGAACAGTGTACATGTAGTATCAAACAAAGTTTACGCAAAATGACATTCACAGTGAAAATGATATTGAAGACATGGATTATTAAATAATTCACACGGTGAATAAGTTTCATTCTTCTCGACCAAACTGCGTTTCTGTCCCATTAAATCTAGGTCCCATTGCGCTTTCTATCAATTTCAAAGTTGATCATAACATATTGCCGTTAGCTCAATAGTCACTTTTGCAGCTTAAAATAACCTTATTACCCCCATACAGTCAGCTGTCATCCTATACTGGTGGAAAATGACTCGAAAAGGGATTATATTTAAAAGAAAATTCTTGAAAACTATTTTTTATGTAGTAGAAAATAAATTCCATGCTTTGCTATGTATGCAGATATCAATTGACCTTGCGCTCATCAAGTTAACATTTTCTGTTAATTTGCAGGATATCGAATTATCAAAGCGAACCATACTTTCCGAATAAAAAGTCCTGTTTTAAGGCATTGGCCTGTGTGATCTGTTTTCAGGGACATAGTCTATGCATTTAAAAGAAAAAGCAGTCCCTGTAGTATGTCCAACGAGACGAGTCCCCGTAGCAGACAAAAAAGTAGACAAAATTCACGTTTTCTTACACGCAGTGATCGCAAAGTGAAACATAATAGGTTGTACTTTGAGAAACAATGGTTAAAAATAATGAAAATTGCTGCATAAAAATTATTCATTGAGTTATAAAATGCTCCACTATATTTTGCAGAAAATACGGGATTAGTAAAAAATGTAATTTACTCATGAATTATTTAGTATTTATATGATGATGATATGTAAATACACAATTTTGTTTTTGAAAAGATAGCTGATAGCTAGTTTATAGATATATACATATTGCGCATGTTCGGTGTCTATCAAGCGTCTCCATGTTAGGGATTTAAGAGTATACACATTTTGTGTTATATCACTATTTTGTGACGACTTCTTGATTATTGGAGAGGTCATTAAACCTCTCCACAGTGTTCAGACTGATTGCTGGCGGCACCCATTTTTGCGTATCTGATTTTAGTGAACGAATTTCATTTAAAGCGTAAAATCATTAGGAGCAGTCTACAAAAATTGTTTTGTACAGGCTCCGTTTCAAAATACGACTGAAATTAAACGAAAAATTAACATCGAAGTGAACAAATCGCTACATAGAAAAATCGGAAAATATCATTTACGTTACTTAGCGCTACGTGGATGTTTCATTCCGTTTTAATCTTTTATATTGTATAAATCGATAACCGTATTTTTTTCTGAATGGCGTTTTACTATTTCATGTTCCGATAAATAGTAACAGTGAACATTACACGTACAATATCACCATGCACTATCAAATGATCGAAAGAACCGTGTACCGAAATCGTGCTGCTCCTTCAACATTTGAGCCGGTATGACTTAATAACGCAACGGAGATTTTTTGGCGCAAATAGCACAAACTTTACTCAGGATTTTCCTCAAATATTGTGGTTGGAGGCATGCAGCTTTATATACTGTTTATTCCAATCAAATATTATAAACATATACTTCCATTTCCATATACTTACCAAAAAATTAACCGAAAATGTGCTTTTTGAATTTTATAAGAAACTTTTATTTTGATACAATGTAAAAGTACCCCTAATGCGCCGAGAAAAAAGTCCATTTCTCCGGCATATAATCATTCAAAACAGTAAAAAAATGAAGTGTGAAACAAACTTTCATTATGATACTATATTTAATATACAATGTTTATAATAAATTCTGTTTTGTTAAATAATTGTATTTTATAACCATTCATTGTGTCGTTTATGCAAAACTATCCCATGATATTTTCGAATTAAACAAGCAGCAAAAAGACCTCTCGCATGCTTCTTTTTAAAGAAGCAAACTTGTTATATCTCCTAGAAAAATGCTGATATTTTATCTTTATTCAGAAATGAAATTAAATTTTAAGGTTATTTAATGTTTTTAAAGTGCATACAGCGTGTCATTCCAACTTGAAAAGGCTGTAACCTTTATGTGACTGTCATTGAAATAATTATTTGTGTTATATTCATGAAGTATGCATTTTAGCAGCCTGTCATAGCATGTCGTCCTAATGTAAGAAGCGTTGCAGCTAATGTGTCTGCCATTAAAACAAAATTAGATATGGACACGCCCTTATGTGGGACTGAATTGAAACCATTTGACTTTGTCCAGAAATTTATGACATTTATCACAAGGCACTAGTTTTGAAGCCTCCCCGATTTCCAATATTATGTACTAAAGCACCTTCAAGCTTATAATTTTAATACCACTATCTGTCAATTAAACAGCCATGTGTGACAAAAATGAACACGACGCTGAACTAACGTTCGTTTTACTCTAACTTTGCTATATCTTTTAATTGATTTCAGCCGCAAGGTTAAGTCTTTCTGATCAGTGCCCCCACACAGTTGTGTTGTGTCAATAAACTTTGTGATCTTGACTCTTTTTTTCAGCAAGATAATAAGTTTTTCCAATAAAATATCTTAATAATAAATGTGTTTTAAACAGTTATGAAATTAACTTTTCAAAAGTAAGTTCACATATCGGCATTTTTGAAACACAAAATCAGATTCGTTTTCTAATAACAGTAGTTTGTCCAATTCTGGAAAAGTATCAATAATTCGAGGGTTGAAGTAATTTTCAAACTCATTAACATGCCTAAAGTGCTCCACTAAACGCTATTTTAGGTTTTGTTCAGTCGAGTCTATTTGTAACCTAAAAAACAACAACAAAAAACGTCAATTTGATCTGACATTTCAGTAAAGCATTTGAGTTCAAGTTATATACATTTTGTATAATTATACTTTTTCATTCCTTGTGGTTCTCAAAGTATTATTGCTGTTAAACTATATGGGAGCCATAAATATGATACTGTATAAGTCAGTGTTTTTACTTACAATATTCGCATATAAACTTCATGATAATTTCTCCTGCAAATCTAATGATAATTCGATAATTTTCTTTGAGGGTCAATGACATTCAAAAAATAAGGGCATACGCTTATTGCTCCACTTATGTTTATTTTCACATTTATGTAAAAATTACCAAATTGGCATTAATATGCATTGCCATTTTAAGTTCACTGTCCTACATAAATCATTTAACACATTGACTTTGGCATAAATATATGTCAAAGTATAAATCTCCTGCGTCCCTAGATGGCAAAGTCATAGCAAATTCAGTTGTATTCAGTAATTCAAAAATGAAGTAAAAAAATTATATAACGTTAACGGTTGATTTCATTTAATACCACATTTCCAAATGCTTTTTTTCTAAGTGTGAAAACTATACAATTATCATTAACACAGGTTAACATAATTGAAGAAAATTTAATTTTTTGTTGGTCATTTTATACTCATTTAAAATTAATTTTAAAATATGCGCAAGCAGGGTTGCGACAGTTGAGAAGAAACAAACACAAGGTTTGTCTAAAAACAGTCAGACAGACAGTTGTACAGCCTCATACCTACGAAAGACCGGTGGAAGCATTTCAACTTCACGAATTCCCAATTTCAGCTTCATGAATTCTCGAAATCGTGAATTCGTGAAGTTGAAGTCGTGAATTCATGAAGCAAAATCATAAATTAGTGAATTCCGTATTTCCGAATTCAAGAAGTTTAAATTATGAATTCATGAAGTTGAAATCGGGAAATCATGAAGTTGAAATAGCCCTACCGGACTTTCGTACATACCTGTCTATTTTGTTTCAGTGTGTTGTGTAAAATATTATAGGTACTGTTTGTGTCATACTTAACAATATTTTCCAAACTTACCGTTGAAAGATCACAATTTATACATTCCAAACATCAAAGGAATGGTGTTATTCTTGATCAAATTTAATTCAATGTTTGTCTTGTTACGATCGTAAAAATCTATCAACCTGATGTACAATACGGATTTAATACCGACTTTCAGACTTTGAACGGAATGGTAAAAAATTTAGCAACACACTGTGACAGACAGTAAAAAATGCTATAAATTGTCTGGAGGAAAAGTAAACTGTAAATGTAAATGAACTGAAACATTACTTTCTCACAACGATGCCGAAACGTCGATATATAGACGTTAAGAAATAGCAGGGCTAGACACATCTTAGATTCATTTGCCGAATAAAAATGATCTTGGCTGTACGCAAATCAGCAAATGCGATTGAAAAGCGCAGGAAGACGCAAAGTCAGATTTTCAACATTTTTTGACAGAATAAGTTTGAAATCTAAAAAAAAATGATAATGTTGTCTATCAGGGCTAAGTTTAACCGTATAAAATGAACACAATTATCAAACTGACAGTGATTCAGATATTAACAAGAATTTGAATTGCAAGAACAATTACTGAATAGAACCGTGATAAGATGTCTTGTTTAAAGACTTGGTGTGAACGCTTCTTTCTACAAAAAAATAAATAAATAAACAACATCAATTTAACAGTCAAATAAATAATTAAAAAATAGGCTACGTCGGTTATGGCAAAATAAAAGTTCGAATCAAATTGGTCGATCTGGCTTCTTTCACCACAAAAAAAGAAGAACTGTTAATGTGGCTGAAACAACACTTTATCGCCCGACAAGGACACTTGCTGAAAATAAGCTTTCTGACAATACTTGAAGCCTCTTTCGAAATTTTTTTTTTCTTCTTTTTATTTCCAATTTCATTTAATTAAATACACAACGCGCGAACCGGATTGAACGCGACGATTTTGACGTCACGGCAAAACAAAGCATAAAAATAAAATGGCGGACATTTGTGTTTTTTATAAATAAAATGGCTATTTTGATAAACAGAGAAATAAATATGACAATTAAGTGATAAAAAACAGGGACATTTTAACAGCTGTCACACATACCTTTACATGCCTGTTATTGTACGTATAAATATCCCGGGAAGGCCAGATGTCTCGAGGGCAAACAACATTAAAGTCTTGTTTTTATTTGAATCATTTTATAAGAGAAAATGTATTATTTAACATCTTTAAGGCCCTCTTTCACCGACTGTAGCGTTTAATTAAATTCAATCTCTGAAGCACAATTACAATGGAAAAGGAATATATGGGATAAAATGAACTCTTTAAAAACCTTTGACCTCTTAACCGGTATCTCGTAAAAAGCTTTTCCAAAATGATAACAAATGGTTACAATGTCAAAAAAAATGAAAACAGAGACTTGTCATCAAAATTAGATCTAAAATACTTATTTCCAAAACATTTAAGGAAATTTCATACATTCTGTTTTCAAGGACAAGAATATCAGTTTCAGTTCCATGCACGTGTTTCCGTCAAATAGAAGTCTTAAGCTTTTTATCAAACAGCAGTTTTAGCAGCTAAAAAAACGTTTGGGAATTTAATGGAAATTTTAGGAACTTGTCTTGCACCAGCTCTTAGACTCCATAAAATTGAGCGAGCTTTCGTCTTTCATGAGTTTCTAAAATGATTTAATACACGTTAACTCTTGTCGCTCCCCATTCCACAGAAAGTTCATTTGTTTTTCTTAAATTATATTGCAAATGAGCCAAGCGGGCTCAAAGATTGTTAAGTTAATTTGTAAAATCATGTAATTATTGTTTTTCTAAAGACTCCTCTGCACTGCAGTTTTCAACTTGTTAGTGTACATTTGCCACATTTCTTGGCATGAAAACTAAGCAATCAAAAAGCTTGGTGCCTTAAGTCTTGGATTTTTTTTTCCATTAATGTAACTTAACACTAAACATGATAAATTCGTAACACCGGAATTTAGTAAAATATCCAATTGAAAACGGACAAATGAAACACATTGGATAATAAAATATACGCGCGCACACGTATGACAGTTTTTGCATACTTCGCCAAAATTAAAACACTTAACGCCACGTTTTAAAGTTTATGTTTATATATATATATATTAAGCATAAATACGTTTTATTCATATTTCTTATGAAAATAATTAACTGTATCGCCATACTCATTAAAGTTGTTTGAACATGAACATTTCGTAAAATCATGCGAAATGGTGCAATATTTATATTTAAAAATAAATTAATGTAAAGGCAGAGAAAATTGCTGCTATGTTTGTTATAGGTAGGCATTATAACAGACAGCAGAAAAAAGAACCTCTTGTATATACCTTGAATACTGCGTCCTTTGCTACTTTCGGACCTGAAGTGTGGGGTAGGAGTTCTCCTGCACTGATTTCGCGAAGTTTATGTAAGAATATCTGAAAAATATTTTTCAAAGCAATGTAATGTCAACAAGAAGGAAAGTAAAATAGTAAAGGTGTTAAAAATTGTAAATTTAAAAATTTCATTATAGCATTATTTGAAAAAATAAGATGAATTTAATATTTTGTCATTCATTTGACTAGTATATTATACCTTTAAAAGTGAAAAAACAAACAAACGATAAACCAAAATTAATCAACTCGAATACAAGTTCATTATATGATACTGATTTTTGTTTTGTTTTATATTTTGTTACAACAATTTAAAAATACTTAGTAGAATTTCATTAATTGTAATGGTGTATGGATTTATTTCTGTGCACAATGTATGTTTTAATTCGCGCGAGCGCCAGAACATGCGTAGATTTTTTGTACTTAAATGATAAATTATTACCGTGCGTGTATGATAATTTTAGTAAATAAATAATGTACTAACATAATCTGGATCTCCAACATACACGAAATGAGTTTCGATGTCCATTTCTCGAATACCAGTCATTTCTTCTTTTAAACGATTGAACTCCTTAAAACAATAAAACAGTAACACATGCGATATAGGCATATTTTATTGATATCATTTATGCTTAGTTGTACTTTGATGAGTATTGACTGTTAAAGTGCATATTGATATATTACATTTTCACAAAATCCTTTTTTATATTTTTTTAAAAACAATTTAGCATGGTTATAAGGAATTTTCTATAAATTAATTTAGAAGTGTCTTACTTCATTTCCGGTTACTTTAGACTGATTCTGAACAACAGCCCTACCATCGGTTATAACAACTATCCGGGGCGATATCCGAGTTTTGTTAACATTAAAAACATAATCTACAAAAATATATGGAGAATTTTGTCATTTCTATAATAAAAAAGTAACTTATATCCAACTCTTTGTTTTTGAAAATGAAACTATTTCTAACAGCAAGAAATAAGTCAAGAAATACATAATTTATATAAATAAAGTCAATTTTAAGGATGATTAATTTCTGTTTTCTTTAAATGAAATATATAAAATATGTTATTTTACATTTTTCAAGTTTATGGCATGTTATACGTTGCAAAATTCAATAAATCTATTTGTTTGGTTTAAATCCAATATTTATATTCTATAACTCTAATTTTTTATTGTATACCGTAATAATTATTCAATCCTACTGAACATTTGTTCATCGTAAAAATATCTGTGTGCGATAATTTTCTGTATATATGTTCTATATTTGAAAACATATATTGTATTCTTAAAAATATTTATTGTAGTAATATTGAAAAATATTTATTCGATAAATTGAATCATGGGATAGAACACCAAGCATATTAAGCTCCGCCTATAAATTATGCACGAATTTCTGATAAAGCGTTATCATCCTGATTAAGTAGTGGAAATGATCAGTGTCCCTGTGAATGTCACTTGTAAATAGTGCATATTCTCAGTCCTCCTGATAAAAATATATGTATGTCTAAAAATGGAAAAAGATTTTAAAGTCTTCAGGACATACAATCGTATAATAATGGTTTTTCATATGCCTAATAATTTAACCACGATATGAACCAATGTGAGGATATCAAGTAAGATGCATTAACATAAAAATACACGGAACATAAATCGGAATATAACAAAAAATGCCAACAAGAAACATTAACAAATGAAAATGTTATGCCGTTTATGCAATGTGCATTTGAAGCGATCTTGCGCACGGTATAACTTGAAAATTTGACGTTAAGAACGTCACAAGCGTATGGTCTTTAACGGAGCAGCTCTTTACACATTCACGAAGTAGGCCAATAAGTGTTCCGCATGTTGTTGATGGCGGCGGATTCATTGCCTGATAAATATATGTACAAGTGTGTATCATACTGTATTGTAATAGAAAAGATGATGATAAAGACCTCCGGTAAAGACGCATTTTAGTTCTTTTCTACTGTATCTACTGCACATTCAATAAACTAAATTATATGCCTTATAATAATATAATTTTGGTGCATAATAATGTATCATACAAATAAGAATATAAAAGAATAATACAGCTAAGAACAAAATTGTCATTATCAAAAAAAAAATATAACGCATACTAGTAACCAATTTTGAACGGGACTATTAAACCATTAGACCATTACGTAGAAGAGTAAATTGATTTATACAATTGTAAACCAAGAACATAATGATCAAACTGGCCATAGCTTTGGCAGAAGCGATGGGTCCATCGAAGCGGCGGTGGAGATATCGTCGCACAAGCGGTGGAGAAAATATGGCCGTTTGCTTTTGTCGGTAAATTTATGACTGAATGGTAATGTTTTACTTGAAATATCTAGTGAGACTGGCGCCAAAAATGTATTTTTCCAACTTATTACACGTACACGGTGCAGTTCATTGCCGTTTGTGCAAACACTTCTGTACAGTTTGACGAGGGGACGCCACTTTTGCCTATTTTTTTTAAACACGTACACATGTGTTCAAAACGCTCCTTAAGTATGCCAACATTACGTGTTATGTATGATAAATGCACAAAACAACAATATTTTGAAACTTTTGAAAATTGTTATTGTCTTTTTTACATCAATTAATTACAACGCAGACGGCAGTGAATTTGATTGCAACGCAGCGCGGTGGTCCCAATACAATTATTGTCTATCATGAGGGTTAACTTGACATAACTCATTTTTTCATTGTTTCTTTAGTTTAATTTAAATAATATGATTATTTATGCAAATAGATGTTCAAGTTGCGCTTCCCTTTTCCTTCCATTGTAATTCCTTTGGTAGAATAGTTTACGTTCATCCTGGGACTTAAAATGCCTTGAGTTTGAGGTTTAACAACAAACATATAAAAGAAATTCTCGTAAAGATTAACAGAAGTTGCTTCTTAAATATAAAAATCAATCTCAGTTTTGAATGTCACTGTGATATATTAGCATACTGAGAACACAAATTCATAATTATATCATAGTTTGGAGACCTTTCTGTTGAAGTGTGTCAGAGTTCAATCGTATACATATACATTCATAGTGCATTAATTGGCGCATTCGAGAGCATGCCCATTGATTGGTTCATTTTTTCTGGGGTTTACTTATTGTGACGACAGCGAAAAGAATAACGACAGAAATGTCATACTAAGATGCTGGTTCATTGGCTACTTTTTCTTTGGTTTCATATTGCGACAACAGGGAACGTGTTTTTATTTTTCCATATTTTACAAGAGCTTTTGTAGACCTATAGCCGCAATGATATTGTTATAAACCAGATACATCATGTGTATGTATCTTACAATTTTACATTTTGTCAAAAAGTTACATAATGTGAGAAATAAGAAAACAGCAGTCTTTAAAGTTTCCAGGTCTAACTCAAAATGTGCAGTTATACATGGTCGCTTAGGGTTCAGTGCTGAATCATTAACACGTTTGATAAAATATTACTACTTTATTCAACCGACAGCTTAAATAAATTAAGTAATAGGAAATATACGAACATAATATTCTATTAATCACATTTCCATAATAAGTAGAGTTTACAGTCGTAATTAAAAAAAAATGTAACGATAATATTTAAGGACGTATTTGGAGTCAGAATTAAAAATGTTCTAAACTTGCATTAGAGAAAACCATTCACCGATCTCTTTTTCAAGTTTATCATATGAAAAGTAAATAAGATCCATTTTCTTTTTTTATTAGCTAACTTCCCCTGTATTTGTAGCTAGTAAAGAACAAAAAATTAAGGGTTTTTTGCTTAAATTGTGGCATTCATCGAAGAAAATGGTATTTGATTTCAAAAATGGTATATTTTTAAAGAATTAAAGTACCTCTAATGAAAGAGGTAAAAATTTCATGGATTTATTTTAAATATGGAAAAATATAGTGAAAACTATTACAAAAAGGAAACAGATTTTTCAGACGTATGTATAAGTTATTTGCCCCTGAGATTACCCCAAATAAGTAAAGAAAAATGAAATTCATGTTTTTTGGCTTGAAATGTTTATCATATTTTAACATCATGCCACGTTTCAAGAATATATGTCGAACATCTTTAATTTTGTCTATATGTCTTGATAATACTGCATGTTTGTTACATCAATTTCCATTGGATCATCGTGCAGTATTATAATATTAGTTATAAAGATTTTTGACAGGTTACATGACCGTTTTTGTACAAGTTATATATGGCCGTTTGTTGCCGAACCGCTAAGCTAAGATTTTGTTGCAACCGTTTATATACGCCATATAGCCCGTAAAAATCTTCATAACAAATTTATAATACAGCAAGCATCTTTTTTATATAAAAAATAATTTCTCCATCAATTTACAGCATCCGTGTATATAAAGGTATATAACTGTTATGATTATCCAATGAAAAGCAATGTTACAAAGGTGCAGTATTATAAAGTTTGTTTCTTGCATATCAGACAGGATTATTTACCGTTTACATCGGTGCTAGAAATAAAGCTATCTAATATCCCATGCAAGACAAGTCGGGTGCTTTTAATCACGTCATTTTTCTGGAACTTTTGTACAAAACATCATAAAAGTTGAAAGGTTTAGGTGACGACAGTAATGTATAATACATTTTAGGACCTTAATTGATACTTGAAAAATAAATACACGAGATAATGGTGAAAATGTTCCTTTCAGACAAAGATAATACATCATTTTAAACAACATTTTTACCTCAAGAAACGCCTTCGTATAAGATATATCCGGTGGATCACCAAATTTTGTGTTTTATTGAGAATGATAGTTCAATGTGAATGTATAACTGTAACAATTCTTTATGATATCGTAATAACTGAATATGTATCCTTTAATTGAGATAGTCTTTATAAAATGATATCAATTATATTATTATATTAATTTTGTTATAAGTTCACATTAATTAAAAATAAAAAATACTCAATTTTGATTCATACTATTTCATTAGGTCAGTAATAAGACTTACTGTCGAGGCTTATCACAGCATTTTTTGAGAACCTCAATCCAGCTTCTAATTTACTGCCGCCGCTAAGTTTTGTGTTTTCTGCAAAAATAAAATTCATTTCTTTCTGAAAATGAATCAAGAGAGAAACCATGTACAAAAAGAAACGAAGTAATATTAAATTATCAAATTGCACCATTGCATTTGTAACATCATTTTACAGATTTAGTGACTGTGATAATACATAAAATTATTTTATGCTAAGCCTAATTAATCAATTTAGACGTCACATAGAAGGTAGTAAACCGATAACTTAAAGTACTATATTTTATATTTAAACATCTCCAACAAGCTATTTCTGATCCAACAATGGGCTTTATATGAATTTCACGAACGTCATTACTACATCAATAAATCAAAACATATTTTACAATTTTTTATTTAACTACAGCTAGACAGAATATCTTTATGGTGAATCTACAATGTAGAGTGTAGATGTAACGTACAAAAAGAAACGAATTGATTTCACTTTTGTAAAAATGACTGAAAAGGCTGAATAGCCTAAAGAAAATGTAAATTTGACGTGTTGTATATATATGGTCTTTTATTCTCTTTTACCGACTAATAATCATTTTCTCAATGAATGCTTGTATGAAAAAATATCCATGTTAGAATTATTTTTTTTATTAAACTTTACTGACAAAAATAATTATATTTTGAAGCGAAGGACTTCTTTTGATCAGGACTAATTACGATTATAAGCATAATGGTAAGGGAGGCTTATGTCGACATAGATTGTAAGTATTTGTTAGAACACGTTGAGTTAAATGTTCTTTTTACTAACGAGTAAAATATTACAAGCTGGCCGATATTGCCCTAGAGCGCTCACCTGACCCATCGAACTCATCCAAACAATTACCTGACCAAGTTTCATGACAGGTGAGTCAATAATGTGACCACTAGAGTGTTAACAAGGATGATTCATATTTGAGCAGTGTGTCCTAGTTTTTCCCCCAGGTGTCCCATATTCGAACTTTACCTATGAATCATCAAAACAAACTTTCAGACCAATTTCCAGGATACTTGGATCAAAACAGTAGCCACTAGAGTATTAACAGGATTTTTCTATTTTTTAGCTCTTGTGATGTGAGATGACCCATGTTCGAACTCATCCTAGCAATTACCTAGGCAAGCATCAGGACCAAGTTTGATGATAATTGAGACAAAAATGTGACCTCTGGAGTGTTAACAAAGGTTTTTTTCCATATTTGGGCGGTGTGACCTAGTTTTTCATCCGGAACTACCGATGTTCGAACTTGATCTAGAACTCATCAACACAAACTTTCATCCAATTTACAGGATATTTGGATCAAAAGAGTAGCCACTTGAGTGTTAATAAGATTTTTCAATTTTTAGCTCCTGTGACCTATTTTTTTTTCCCGAGATGACCCATGTTCAATATCATTCGAGCAATTACCTAGACAAGCATCCTGGCCAAGTTTGATGACAATTGAGTAAAATATGTGACCACTAGAGTGTTAACAAGTTTTTTTCTATTTTTAGCTCCTGTGACCTAGTTTTTTATCCGAGATGACCCATGTTCAAACTCATTCGAGAAATCCCCTAGGCAGCTCCCCCAAGTTAAGTTAATGCCCATGGTCAAAAAGTTGTAGGCTAGAGTTTTAAAACAGGTTTTTTATTTTTAGTCCTGTGACCTAGTTCGAACACCTTGAGCTATTTCTAGAAAACCCCCTGACAAAGTTGTGATGATTGAGAAAAAATGTGAAAACTAAAGTGTCAACAAGGGGTTTTTTTCTTTTTTTTGCTCCTTACCTAGTGCCCGAGTTCCCATGTTTAACTCTTTGGTTTTACCTACAAAAGACCTGACAAAGTTTGTGAGATTGAGGAAAAAGTACCGAAAAGGTTTTAACAAAGTGTGGACGGCGACGGGGGCAGACGGGAGAGGGAATTTCAACACCTAAAAGCTCCCTGAGTAGTCGGGTGAGCTAAAAAAGACATTATAGCACCCCTGTCTTTTGATAAAAAAAGTCTTGCAGAAAAATTCACTAAAATTTTAAAATAAAATTTACAGTCATTTAAAATTTTAAAACTTCATTTTATTTCTACGTTATAATTTTTTAAAACTAAAAAGATGTTTTTTTTATGATCTTTTTCAAAAAATGATGATTGAGCACTTTTCTTTCAGGCCTCCCTTTTCTTTTTTTGATCTTGTGAAAATTACTTTAAAAGGAAATTGGACAGTTAAAGTGTGTAGAAAAATTATATCCCTTTATTCCTGGAAATGAAAATCTTGATTTTAAGATCACATTCCCGATGGGGTTCACAGCTTTAAAATGTAACATAATTATTTGAAGAAAAAAAAGGTTAAAAAATTTTTTTTACCATGACAATCCTTTTTTAAACGAAAGTCTTTTGTCCATGCTTTTCCCCCTTTTGTTTTTTTCCCCAAAATTTACCTTGTTAGTGTGTGCGCCCAAATTTTTAACTTTTCCCTTAACCTTTTTACAACAAGGGGCTAACAGCCCCTGATTCTCCCCTGACCCATCGAAAATCCGGCAATTACCTTAAAAAATCCTAGCAATTTAGAAAATTATCAAAAAAAATAGTTTTTAACAGTTTTTCCCAATTTGGGCGGTGACCTGTTTTTCCCCGGTGACCATTTCAAACAGATCTAGAAATCATCAAAACAAACTTTCAGTCTAATTACCAAGATATTTGGATTAAAACAGTAGCCACTAGAGTGATTACGAGATTTTTCTATGTTTAGCTCCTGTAACCTAGCTTTTCTTCCGAGATGACCCATGTTCGAACTCATCCGAGCAATTACCTAGACAAGTATCCTAACCAAGTTTGATGAAAATTGAGTCAAAAATGTGACCACCAGAGTGTTGACGAGGCTTTTCCATATTTTGACGGTGTGACGTAGTTTTTGACCCCAGGTAGCCCATATTCAAACCTGACCTAGAAATCATCAAAACAAACTTTCAGACCAATTTCCAGGATATTTGGATCAAAACAGTAGCTTCTAGAGTGTTAACAAGATTTTTCTATTTTTAGCTCATGTGACCTAGTTTTTCATCCGAGATGACCCATGTTCGAACTCTTCCGAGCAATGATCTAGGCAAGCATCCTGACCAAGTTTGATAATGATGAAGCAAAAACGCCACCGCTTGAGTGTTTACGAACAAATGTGGTCGGACGACGGACATTCAACGATCCTAAAAGCTCACACTAAGCTAGCTCAGGTGAGCTTAACATTTGATAATAAGAAAGTATCAATATTGTTAAATGATGACATTGAATCAATACACTTTATTTTATTAGGTTCAGTTGATAAATCGGTTGAAAAACCAGCATAACAGATATCTGTAAAGGTATCGAAACGACCAAGTATGAACGAGTAAATTGTCTTGGTAAAAGACATAAACATTTAAGACGATAAAGATTTGTTTTGAATTTACGACTAAAAATGAAAATATATAAAATATGATAACTTATTATTAATGTGATGATGAAAAATAACATAAGATACTGTGTAAGTAAAAGTTAATAATAAGAAATTGTGTAAGTAAAAAATATGATGAACGATACTGTGTAAGTAAAAATTAAAATAAGAAACTGTGTAAGTAAAACATATGACGGATATATACTGATGTATGCATTTAAAGTCTGAAAAAACATTTCTGTGCTTTTCCAAACGTTCTTTGTAAAATATCTACCTGATCCATAATCATTGACAAACGCCTTTGTTTGATCCCAAGCATCATTTAGTTTCATGGTGTCAGAAGTATCGATGCACAAAACTGTATTTACGCCCTTAATAGAACTGAAATATCTCCTTCTTTCTGGAAGAGAATTTAAAGATATCTAACATTGCATCTATGTTCGCTCGTGTTCCTTGATTTGAATTTTAATACAAAAACACAAACATAAGATATAATACGGATTTATCAACAAACCGAATGCAATTCATGTTTCAAATATTGAATTATATCGGAAAATTCAAATACTTAATGGTCTATAATAGAAATATATATGATATTATATTATCAATATTAAAGTAAATTATACCAAGAGTGCTTTCATGGGTCAAAGTGACTTAACCCATTAATCAAATTTTCATCTTAGGTCCTAAGTGTAACTATAACAAAGTTTTGAACTTGGAATCTTGAGGAGTTTAATATATAACATTGTGCAATGAATCTGATCTCATTTTGTCAATAACCTCTTTCTGTGGTACGTCAAGCTATTAAATATTTTGTGTTGAATTTTCATCAAACTTTTCATGGTCACCTGACATTCATTATATTTGAAAATGCAAGGAAACTTAACCAGCAACCCCTGAAATACACCACAGAAATCACGAGTGCCTTAATGTGAGATGTACTTGATATGATATTTTCTACTCACTAAAATTAAGTTCTCGTTCTCGTTCTCCTTCCATATCAGATGAAATCCTGAAAATAGAAGAACATCATTCTGATTACCTGTTTTATAATTTTTCAAAGTATATTCAAGATTACTTTATCCAACTGCACATGATCGGTTCACTACAGATGATTTGATTTCATTCTCGATGAATTCTGGCAGAACTATTCTTGACAGGAAACTTTAATCCGCGAGATTTTTAGGAAGATGATAAAATAATCGATGAACCCCTTTTGTGTTTTATGCAAATCGGAAAATGTATGGGGATATTTGTGCTCACTCTGGAGAAACGTCAAAGTAGAATTGCGTAAAGATATTACAACAGAAACCGATATTTTTACAGATACCTTGGACTTTAGATCAGAAGATCTTTGACGTTTTGATGAATATAACCATTACGCGTTGTTTGCGGGCAACTTTTATTATTATTAAGAAATAATTTATAGGTTGAAAAATGTTTTGTTTTGCTTGTTTATTACTTCTCGTCAAATGTAATTGCTTTTAAAACGAAGACGTATAATTTCGAAAATAAATATCAAATTACAAGGTCTGTGGAGACATCAGCTGGAATAAACGAACCGACCTTGTTGTTCTTAATAGAGGCACATTGACAGGTCAGCGATACAAAGACGACATCTTAGACAACCAGGATATCATGTATGCTGGGACAGTCGGCGATCAGTTCATTCTAATTGACGATTATGTTCGCCCCCATAATAACATTATAGAAAATTGAATAATGATGAAACATTTACAATTTTTATTTTTATTTTTTTTCGTCATTGTGTGGCAACGTCTCAGAATGCCACTGTCGCGGGAAGAAGTTCAAAGGCGATATAGGGAAAGAAAAAAATGCTACTGGGAAATAAATTTTAATGCATATGAGCTTAGGCGGAAACAAACAAAAATACAATCAATCTGCAAGGTTGAGATATTACAAAGAAAGAGAAAGTCAAACATGCGAGTTAAGAAACAAAAACCTTTAGAAAAATCTTGAAAATGAAAACAATCCAACGCCAATACCACAGGCTGAAACAGCTAGTGGTTATAGCCCTCAAGTGTCGCAAGGACTTCAATTACGAAATGGGATTTCCAAATAAAAGAAACGGCACTAGAAAAATACTAAGTAAAGCATAAAAAGGCAAATGAAAAATTGAGAAAAGACATTAAAGATAACATTGACACAAAACGTAAATTTAAAACATTACAAAGAAAATTACAATTGCTTTAAAACAAGAAAGAAATGAGTCAACCAACCGGAAATAGTAAAATAAAGCAGATTCTTAAAGTCACAAATACGTTTGTAAGGAAAAAAAACACTTCATTTTGCAATGTTTTAATAATGATATGAGAGAGAATGCTAAGCGCTCTACAAGATTAAAAAGGCTATTTTACATCAGAAGGACAGCACCAAAATCTCGTACACTGTCGCTTGCCACGTTTTGTCGATTAGGACCTTAAAATATACTGTTATCAAGCTGTTTAGGACGGAACGTCTGCTTATGTACAAAGCATCAAAATCTAGCCCTGGAGTTGCAAGCTTTTCGGAAATATGGTTTGAATACAAAGCCAAGAAACTTTCACCTAGAACGAACTTTTTATAGAAGTTGATTAGCTGCGGGATAATGTAAAGTTTTCTGAGTGGAAATGTAAAACTTTAGAAAATCAGAGGAAGGAAATGAAAATCATTCGAGTCAAATTAGATAAGCAATCATTTTACGATGAAATTTAGATAGAGATCGAAATATTTAAAATTCACTACCATTTTATGATAGCCAAATACCAGCAGACCTGAACATGAAATTATAAAACACATGGACTTTGCTGAAAATTATAACTGTAAGACGGCGGATGAAATACACACAATACACAAACAACGTTACGTCCAATGGTCGGGTTCTACATCGGAATAAAAGAATAAAGCGAATAAAGAAAATCCAACACAAAACCTGAGTTCCTATTTCAGAATGCTTGTCTCATTCACCAAGTACAGTAGTGTCTTTTCATAGAAAATTATTCCCAGAACACATTGACCTCCTAGAATGTAATGCAATCAGATATGTGTATTACTGGACAGACAGCCCCACACCGCAATAATTGAAAAGGGCTCTTTTTCGATACCATTTTAAACCGTGAATTTGTGTGCTGCTGTCCAGCGTTTTGGAATTATCACGAAAGCGGATACTGAAAGAATATCTGTGACCGCCTTGTTGGAACAGTTAAAAGAGTAACTGATGAGTTTGTTCGATCTAGAAAATTTACAATAGAGGATGTAGAGGACTTCATGAATTGGGATAGGGAGGACGTATGCCAAAGATTACATTCTTTAACGTTTCCAGAAGAGATTGTGAACAGACAGCTAGCAAATTGAAGATTTTAACTTTAACATTACAAATAAATGCAGCAACAGTTGATTTTGATGGACAGTTTTGCATACGAAATACTTCCTGTTACTGTCAAGACTGCATAAGTGGTACATTTTGTGACTCGTGGCAAGTTGTTCATGAAAAGAATGTAACTACTAAAACATCTGAAGTTGATGAACTTATCAATTCAGAAACACAATATACTACAGGTGAATATACTGCTGCTTTGTACGATGAAAATTGGTATCTTGGTAAATAGAAGACACAGATGACGATAACATTGGACTAGATTATGAAGTTTCTTTCATGACTCAATAAAGTCTCTGTTTCAATGGCTGCAAATGGAAGACACAATTATGTCAGTTTTTTATTTTAAGCATTGAACGAAGTTATTTCATAAAAAAATGGGACCACCATTTTTATCCCATCGTAATATATCGTAATTATAATAACTACTAACTCAATATTTATTTCCTAACTGTTAAAGATAGAAACTGCGTCGCTTTCAAAACTGGAATGCTCGACTTTATTTGGTTTGAAACGTCACGACAAAGTAACCTGCTATTGGTGTTTGTCAGATTATATTATTACCCCTCACCTTTTTCGTAATGTTAATTTCCCATTGGCCTCTGGGAGTTATTCTTACTGTTAATGCAAGTGTACCACGTGACTAAGACTTTTGTACTGTTACATAGGTTACAGTATTTTGCATAATATAAATCCGTGGTCAAACTGGAACAAGCAGACGATTAAAACATGCAACAAAGGATTATTTAACAATTTTAACCAGTGAAACGTTACAGATAGAGTTGGTGGACAGACATCTGTAGAATATCATTGTTATTTTGTAAATTTTTGCACTTTTTCAAAAACCATGCGAAGAATATTCTGGATACAGAAGTATCAGATTTCACAGATCATAACGTTATAAATGGGTAGTGTTTTGTTTTCTAAATATTGTATGTGTTTATGACTGGTAGATATCATCACTTGCTTAAAGAATTAAAGAAAATTAGCTTCTCAAGTAGGCCTACAGTACACTTAAAACTTGCAAGGTAAGGACAGTTTAGTTATTGCTACTCTTGGTTTATTTGTGTTACAGTTAGATTTAGTTTACAAATTCAGATCATTACAGTATGTGTTGTTCGGGATAATAAAATAAATAACATATGGGTTTACATATGGGTTTAAAAGTATCATCCCTTCTAAAAATAATGTTACCCTCGGCTACGCCTCGGGTAACAGTATTTTTCTCGGGATGATATTTTTACTGTTACCCACAAACCCATGTGTTATTTATATAATGTAAACCGTTATTTAGCAACTGTTTTTGATCAGATTAACCTTTTAATAACACATATAATAAGCTTAATTTATTGTTGGAATGCCATCGCACCAACAGTGTCCTGCTCAGTATCTAAAATATGTTATGATTATATATAATGATACTTACTCTTTTTTGGCAGTACATAAACTGGGAGGGAAATGTGCATTTCCCGCTGTTAAAGAGTCTTCGTGTGTTTTCGTTTCAAGGTCATCATTGACTGCGATCTTTTTATGTTCTTTTTCTTTGATGTCATCTTCAACAATTTCCGACTTTTGTTCCTGCTTTTCATCACTTTCAACAAACTTATCTGATCCAGATTTAGAGTCACCTTCCTGCCACATAGTTACTTTACATCCTGTGAAAAAAACACATGATTAAGCGGCAGTTTTACGTGGTGTCCAAAGACTCAGGCCAGAAGTTGCACGGGTAAAGATTTTATGTGATAAAGCAAGACAATGAATATGACAATTTTAAGAAACCAGGTATTCAACATCAGCCATAGCAAGTAGGTCTTGCGTTTTTGGCTTTTAACCCCAAAAAAATGTTTTGCTGATTGAACGTCATTCAAACGTTAATGTAATTTTTAAGTTATTTAATAATGACGCTTTTATTTCAAATTTTATTTAATCAAAATAGAAAAGAATTAGTCTATAGATAACAAAGTTGTTACAATTTAATTTTTACAAAACGACCATTACTGTCAAAGTCATTAAGGAATCCAGGTAATATTTACTTAAAATATTACGATTAACTCTTTTTTTAGAATTCTTATATCGTTATTACATACAGTTAAAATATTAACATTAATATTTTTAAATAAGATCAACTTTGTGTGTATCTTATGTCACCATGTAACCAAGTTACATTGACATCAAAGGTCATTTCAAACTTAATGTCATCTTTAAATAATTAGCGTGTAGCCTGAGTCATTAGTTGTTTAGATTGAGTATGAAAAACGCTTTACATTCAAGATAAATCCAATAACTTGGCCTTGACGGTAAATGTCACACGTGTATGCATGTCTGTTTTGTCATAATTGCCGCCTGATTTACAATATTTTGCCCTTATCCAGAAATTAGTTTTCTGTTTTTAGTAGCAGTTACCCTAAACTTGACACTATGGGGGCTTAAGAAGTCCAAAGATACTTATATTTCTATTTTCAGTACCGGTAACATTGATACTATAGGGGGCCAAAAAGGCTTGTAAACGGGGTGTCCAAATCGGTGTGTTGTAGCCAAGTTTTAGGACATTTCTAAATTTCTAATTCTTAACTCTGGCAATTTACCGATTTTTTCTATTTTAGTGACAGTGACGTTGACCTCGGCTGAAACGCAATTCTCAAGAAGTGCTCTATATCACTTTGCTATAAACGAGGTTAAACAACAAAATCTTAGTTACAGTACCCATGATTTAACTTTCTGGTTGATAAGTCAATCTTATATATTGCTATCAAAATCCATAACATTTTATACAAAAAGTCACAACATATTCTTAAGCGTGTATTTTATAAATGCTAGAGGTAAAAGGAAAAAAACAGATCTTTTGATTAAAGTAAAATTATGCTCATATTTTCATAGTCAAGTTGAGGTGAACTGACTATATACTTCAAAATATACTTCATAATATAAAATGGTGATTATCCAACAGTTCATATTGGAAAATGTTTAGAAAAAAATTAAATCTGCCAAAAATATATAAATAGACTGTCCCACTCTTTTCATGAACTGAATGTTACAGGTAAACTCTAATGGTTATTTACGAAAAAATCATTTAAATTCATGCGTTGTTTATTGTTGATGTGAAATAATTTTTTATATCAAAATGAATTATGGCAAAATGAAACTTTATTTTGACTTTCAACTGTTCACTCATTTATACCCTTACCCTGGACATAATGTCACTTTAAGGGAAAATAATATAAGAAATTCTACACAAATATTAGTTTTTTCATAGTTGGGTTATTATATGCTGCCAACAATAAAATACATTTTTGCAATATAACGGCGCACGATTCTTTACTAACTACTATATCCGGAAACAACAGCACTCTCTGGATCGTGAAGTCACTATTTTTGTATTCAGTTCTTTCACAAATTGATTAAACTAATATGCCATGACTTAGTATAGACCCAAATAAATTGTAACGAATTAAATATGCACATAAGGTGATCTCAAAGTCCCCCTATAAATACGGAATATTTTGTTGTAGTAGCTTTCTGAGGCCTTGTATTTTGCTACGAGCACCATAATAAATTTATATCTCGCGAGACCGAATTCCTTTTATTATATACCAATAATTTTTTTCAAAAAGAAAACAATTATAAAACTTTTATCATTTATTTCACAATCAGAAACATAGATATGGAGAAATAATATCTTAAAAAGGGGGATGAATATATATCAGTTTTTCAAAAGAGGCCACGACTCCAAGACAGTTTTTTATTTAGGAAATAGACATATGGCCGATCCAATTCGTGTCACAATATCAACAAACGTTTAAAAGATAAACAGTGTTTAAAAGCTAGAAATGCAACTTTTGATTTGGATTGTTCCGCTAAGAGTACATGAATTATTCACTGTCACTGTCAGATTCAATTACCGGACAAATCCTTCTTCGGCGTTTGGGACCTGGTGAAATGTCATCAGTTTTCACGGTTTTGTTAATAATTGTTATTGGACAATTCATTAGTCTTGTATTCTGAAGTATTTGACCAGTATGGGTTGAAACTAATTCAATTCCCGACATTGTACGGATATTTGATGAAACAGTTGCGTTAAATGATGATTGTACGGGTCCTAGAATTTGACGAGGCGGACCAGTGGAATTGGTAAGTGATTGATTACTTTGAGTTTGAGTTTGGCACATCTGAATTGCATTTTTAAGCTTGGGAAGATTTGGGTTATAGGACAATATATCAGACATGTGTTCTTGCATTTCACATGATGCTCTAGCATAATTGTTAACACTTTGAACATTTCTATGGGCACTTAACTGTTGCATTGAAGTTGGTGCAATTCTACTAAGTAATAGATCAGTGCAAGTAGTTTTCCTTGCACTGTGATTTGCCTTGCAAACTACACTCAATGGTTTTCATTAACGTATTAAGCGTGTGCTCACCAAGAGGCTGAGATTTAAACAATTTATCTGAACCCGGAAGTCGTTTATAGTTAATACATAAATAAAATGGCGACTCAGGCTGACTTATTTCTGTTGGCCTTTGTTGTGCAAATATTTTGAAAGCATATACAGGGCAAGTATCATGTGCAAATTTCTTTGGACTAAAATGGCGTACTTCAGTTGTTTTCTTAGCAGGACGTGTTTTTGTTAACCTTTCATTATATTCAGTGTATTCACTGCGATGATCATTTGTTTTAAGTTCAATATCCCCTACCTAATTTGCCTATGAAGCCCAAACAGAACAGTATTATTTAACTATATAAAATTCAAAAGTTTTTTTGGAGTGTCAGTCCCTGTCAGTCCATTTACCCGCAACATTTATCTCTCTTTAACTGCCAGGGGCTCTGCAGCATTTGGACGATTACCCTTTCCCTTGCCTTTGAGCTCCTTTCGTTTTGATGCTAAAACTTGTCGCGATGTTGAGAATTCCTTGTCAGTTATGATGCTGTGAGGATATTTATTTTCCCTGAGGCACCTAAATGTAAATGAAAACATGTGTTCAAAATTGGAATGAATTTATTTAATTGATTTGAAGTTTTGCACAATTAAAAAGTCAAATAAATTGTTATCCTTTTGGATTTATGCTACATGTAGATATATATAAATGCAAAATATGGTAGAATACCTAGAATGGGCTCAAAATAAATAATTTTTTAATACCAAAATTTGAATTTGATTCTTAAATAATTATAAGAAAAAAATATTTAGTATTCCATCTAAAAATAGTACATAAGGTGAATTAAAGGTTTAAAAAAAACTTTCTTGACATACAATTTGAAGAAATGACAAATTGTGCAAAATGTTATGTCATAATAATGATTTATTATATATTTCATATGCTTTAATATTTAACAGTGAAATAATCAAAATGCAATTCAACAAATTTCAAAGTAGCCAAATGCAAATATAAAAATAGTATCTTAATGGAAATGAATTTTGGTCAGAAATACAGTCCTTTGTAATACAATAGATGCCTTTGTAAAAGAGATCTAGTAGTAAAATATTCATGATTAAACTAGAAGCACATATTTAAGTTAAAATGTACAATTTTCATAAAAAATTTAAATGTAGTGTGAAGTGTACAAAGAAAGCAAATTGCACATTACAAATGGCACTTAATATCTGCATAAATTATCAAAAAGAGGTCAAAATATACATAAAATATCTCTTAAACTACTGGGAAAGTCAGTAAATCAGTGTAATCGCACATAAAATATAAAATTATTACTTGAATTCATTTTTGTATTGTTTGAATCTTTTTACTTTTCAAAAAATCTTAGTTCATTTTTCTCAAGTTTCTCATATTTTAACTCATTGCAGCTTTAATTAACATGATCAGCAGACTATCTTTGTTACATGAACACAAATTATATGATTCTAGGACATTTTTTTAATATAATGATATCTTTATTTAAAGAAGGTAAAAAAAACAACAACAGCATATATATATATATATATATATTGCCACAAGATGAATGGAAGCTGTGTCATATGATGACCAATTATTTTAGCACTACACTCTGCAGATTGACTCATGAGTCACATAATAATAAATGGTCACCAGTGATAGAAGCATGAATGGAATAAAAAATACAGAACGGTTTGAATCGCTGTTTAAACTTTTTTGGTGTATAAGAAGTCTACTGCATTACCTGTCAAATGCCTCTGTGGTATGAGCTGAGTGTATCAGGCTCATATTCTGACCCATCAGCTTTGCGTATTGACAGCAAGGAGGAACCAATAAAATTGTCCAGTTCAGCTGGTATTATTTTCCAGATTTGCCTCAAGTCATTTCTTGGTGGCTCAGCCAGCCAACGTTGAAACTGACGGAGACTTGTTTTTGTTTTTCATTCCTATAACAAAGTTTTCTTTTTCTACATCAGTTATGTTGAGGAAGGTTGGCTTGTTAATAGCATTTGATTTGCCACAGTTTAAGTTATTTTCTGGCTAGCCAACAAGATTGTCTGGACTCTGTCTGGTACAATTGACTCCGTCTGGTACAATTCAAAGTTTCAGTAATTACCGGATTATCATAATTTATGTTACCAGTGTCATTCATTGTTTCTTGCTGAACTGGATCAGAATAATAATCTAGGAGAGAGTTGGCTATGTCAACACTCAGTTCACTGGACTGTACATCTGCATGTATTTGGTCAGTTTGGGAAACCTCCTCCTCA